GAGAAGGACATCAGCGGTACGTTGCGCTCCCCGGCACTGCCCGGGCTGCGGTGCCTTGCTCAGCCGGCGATCCTGGCTCTGGAGGGGCCTTGGACCACGGGAGTGTCCCCTGATGAGACGTTTGTCCTCTGTCCTTGTCCTGACAAGTCCGTTCCCTAGGCTAAGTCTTTGAGCGTGGGGGCCCTTCGCTGGTCTCTGCCTCCTGGGTGCCCCTGCCCACGCGCTGCCCCTCCGGCGCAGTCCTTGCAGCACTGAGACCGGCTGGCAGGTCCCCATCCTGCGCCGTGGTGGGCTGGGTGCCTCGTGAGGCTGAGCACGGGCCCAGGCCGGTCTGTCACAGAATCACAGAATCACAGAATAGGACTCCACAGCCTCCCTGGGCAGCCTGGGCCAGGGCTCCGGCACCCTCAGAGGGAAGAAGTTCTTCCTCGGGTTCAGCTGGAGCTTCCTCTGCTTCAGTTTGTGCCCGGTGCCCCTTGTCCTGTCTCGTCCCTGCTGCTCGCGGGGTGCTGGAGGAAGGCCCTGCCTTTGCCCGAGGAATGCGGGTGCCTTCCCCTGTGTCAAAAGTTTCCTTGTACAGGGAAGACCCAGATCCAGTCCGTGGAGCCGTACACCAAGCAGCAGCTGAACAACATGTCATTCGCGGAGATCATCATGGGCTACAAAATCATGGATGCCACCAACATCCTGGTGTCCCCCCTGGTGTACCTGTACCCAGACATCCCCAAGGAGGAGGCGTTCGGGAAGTACTGCCGCTCCGAGAGCCAGGAGCACTCGGAAGCTACCGACTCAGGTAGTCGTTGACTTTCCGTGTCGCAGCATGGCTCCCGCGTCGCAGGGCGGCTCCGGGGACGGCGCTGGGGCAGGAGCTGGCACCAGCCATGGTGCCGAAGTCCTGCCGCTCCGAGAGCCAGGAGCACTCGGAAGCTACCGACTCAGGTAGTCGTTGACTTTCCGTGTCGCAGCATGGCTCCCGCGTCGCAGGGCGGCTCCGGGGACGGCGCTGGGGCAGGAGCTGGCACCAGCCATGGTCCCTGCAGGACAGAGCCACAGCCTGGGACGGGTGCGGGTGCCCGTGGGGTGCGGGCAGCAAGGGCTGCGCGGGGCTGGCTGCGGGGCGGGAGGGAGCAGGGTCCCTCCGGCCGCTGGTGACAGGGCTGCTCGCTCCCTGCAGGTGCTGCTCCGTACCTGAAGACCAAGTTCATCTGCGTCACTCCGTAAGTGTTCCGGGGGTGTCTGCGTGCTCGGCCTCGCTGGGGGGGTCCTGTCCCCCCTCGGCTCGGTCTCTGCCCGGTGCCGTGCGGCTCCCCGGCTGCGTGGGGGCTG